ATTTACCCCAAAGATACAAATGTAGTGATCCAAAGGGGTACGTGCACCCCAATGTTTAGAGCAGCAATGTCCACAACAGCCAAACTATGGAAAGAGCCCAGATGTCCATCAACAGATGAATGGATAAGGAAGATGTGGTATATATATATAGAATGGAATATTATGCAGTCATCAAAGGGAATGAAATCTTGCCATTTGCAAATACGTGGATGGAACTGGAGGGTATTATGCTGAGCGAAATAAGTCAATCAGAGAAAGACATGTATCATATGATCTCACTGATATGATATGATATGATATGAATTCTTAATCTCAGGAAACAAACTGAACGTTGCTGGAGTGGTGGGGGTTGGGAGGGATGGGGTGACTGGGTGATAGACATTGGGGAGGGTATGTGCTATGGTGAGCGCTGTGAATTGTGTAAGACTGTTGAATCACAGACCTGTACCTCTGAAACAAATAATATATTATATGTTTAAAAAGAAAAAAACAAGATAGCAGGAAGGGAAAAATGAAGGCGGGGAAATCAGAGGGGGAGACAAACCATGAGAGACTATGGACCCTGAGAAACAAACTGAGGGTTTTAGAGGGGAGGGGGTAGGGGGATGGGTTAGCCCAGTGATGGGTATTAAAGAGGGCACGTACTGCATGGAGCACTGGGTGTTATATGCAAACAATGAGTCATGGAACACTACCTCAAAAACTAATGATGTAATGAATGGTGACTAACATAACATAATAAAATCAAATTAAAAAAAAAACAACTTGGGGTCATCTTCCAGGACCTCTCCATTCATCATACTCTGTCCACTGAAAAAATCATGCTGAGCATAGTCATTCAAAAAAGAAGTAGCGTGTTAGGAATAGAGGTCAGGGTATACTAGACTAAATCAGCTTATATCCTTGCAAATTATTTTGTAGATACTGAATGTAAGCTAGTAGCAGTGAAGTTCAGAAAACCTTGTTTGGGGAGGTGGGTGGGGGAATGGGGTAACTGTGATGTGATGAGCACTGGGTGTTATACACAACTGATGAATTACTGAACTCTACATCTGAAACTAATAATGTACTATATGCTGGCTAATTAAATTTAAATTTAAAAACTTTTTTAAAAATTTTAAAAAAGAAAGAAAACCTTGGTTACTCGGGAACATCACCCACAGAAGGAGGCAAGCACAGAGAGCTCCAGCCTGCTTCAGGAAAATGCAGCCCATGCCGTAAAGGATGCACTACGTGTCTGCTCCATGGCACTGCTGTGTCAGTCAGATGCAAGATGGCACAAGCCGGGTCCAAAGAAGACATCCAAATGGCCAACAGACACATGAAAAAGTGCTCAATATCGCTCGGCATCAGGGAAATCCAAATCAAAACCTCAATGAGATACCACCTCACACCAGTCAGAATGGCTAAAATTAACAACTCAGGAAACGACAGATGTTGGCGGGGACGTGGAGAAAGGGGAACCCTCCTACACTGTTGGTGGGAATGCAAGCTGGTGCAGCCACTCTGGAAAACAGTATGGAGGTTCCTCAAAAGGTTGAAAATAGAGCTACCATACGATCCAGCAATTGCACTACTGGGTATTTACCACAAAGATACAAATGTAGGGATCCGAAGGGGTACGTGCATCCCAATGTTTAGAGCAGCAATGTCCACAATAGCCAAACTGTGGAAAGAGCCAAGATGTCCATCGACAGATGAATGGATAAAGAAGATGTGGTATATATACACAATGGAATATTATGCAGCCATCAAAAGGAATGAGATCTTGCCATTTGCAACAACATGGATGGAACTGGAGGGTGTTATGCTGAGTGAAATAAGTCAATCAGAGAAAGACATGTATCATATGACCTCACTGATATGAGGAATTCTTAATCTCAGGAAACGAACTGAGGGTTGCTGGAGTGGGGGTGGGGTGGGAGGGATGGGGTGGCTGGGTGATAGACATTGGGGAGGGTATGTGCTATGGTGAGCGCTGTGAATTGTGCAAGACTGTTGAATCACAGATCTGTACCTCTGAAACAAATAATGCAATATATGTTAAGGAAAAAAAAAAAGAAGACAGCAGGAGGGAAAGAATGAAGGGGGGAAATCGGAGGGGGAGATGAACCATGAGAGACGATGGACTCTGAAAAACAAACTGAGGGTTCTAGAGGGGAGGGGGTGGGGGGATGGGTTAGCCTGGTGATGGGTATTAAAGAGGGCACGTTCTGCGTGGAGCACTGGGTATTATGCACAAACAATGAATCACGGAACACTACATCAAAAACTAATGATGATATGTATGGTGATTAACATGACAATAAAAAAATTTTAAGAAAAGAAAAAAAGGGCGCCTGGCTGGCTCAGATGGTTAAGCGTCTGCCTTCGGCTCAGGTCATGATCCCGGGGTCCTGGGATAGAGTCCCGCGTCGGGCTCCCTGCTCCTTGGGAGCCTGCTTCTCCCTCTGCTTCTCTCTCTCTCTCTCCTCCTCTGTCTCTCATGAATAAATAAATAAAATCTTTAAAAAAAAAAAAAAAGATGGCACGAACCGGGACCATCAGCTGTCCGTCTCCACAGTAGTTCTTACAAGAGACTTCAACAGGCGTGAAAGTTGACAGCAGTTATATCCCTACATGGCAACTGAACGGTTAAAACCACTCAGTCACGTGCTCAATCAAGAAAGCCACAGCTATCACTCAAAGCACAAGGTTAAGAAACAGCCTGGCAGCTCAAAGTTCAAAGAATAAAATAAGACTTGGTACAAAGCAGACATGACTAGAGTCTGGTACATCTGCTTCATCTTAGCATGTTTAGGGCGGATTCAGAGGAAAAGATAAACAGCCTCCCTGAGGACATAGGCACCACTAACCTATCAAATGGTGACATGGCAGCGCAAGAGATAACACAAAGAGACAAAATCAATATTTCTTAAGGACCAACCCTGGGGCATTTTTCATTTCATACTCTATTTAATTCTCTGAAAGCCCTGTTTCACCTCATTCTTAATATTTTACAGAGGTCATACTAAGGCTGAGAACTTAAGGGACTCTGCTAAGGTCGGACAGATCATTAAGTGGCAGAAGCAGGATTCAAGCCCTCCCATCAAACTGCAAGCCGGCTGCATGCCTTGAATGTCAAAGTGAACCACGGCACAGATGATAAATGTCTCAGGAACTCAGAGAAGGGATGATCCCTTGGTCAGCCTCATCGTGGCCAAGGAACGCCGCCGTCATTAAATGCCAGTGTTTTTATATCAGGCCCAACCCTTTCCTTTCCACCAACTGTGAATCTTAAACAAGACTGTCCAACCTCTGTTTATTATTTTCAGCAATGGGGAAATCACTTAACTCCCCTCCTCGCACATTCATGTTGTAACAACAGATTATTAGTGAATTCTTCCTTATACAGAGTCAGTATCTCCCTCAGATGCTGTGAAATCAGATGTGGAGGCCATGTAGCCAGAAACAATGTTGAACTACCCCGCAGGATTCTTCAACAAAGGCCTCACAGCCCATGGGCTTGGCCCAGACCCTATATACAGGCAGCAGCAGACATCTGAACCATAACTAATTTTTCCCCCAAAATCAGACCCCTCGGCCACTCACTCTCACTAGAAAAAGTAATTCCACATGGTGCCTACTCCCTCAGGTTGCACCTTCTAAATCAAACTGTAAACCTACCCATCTGATTGGCAGAGTCTAAGTCACAAGATTGGGGCCTAGATGCAAGAGAATTTGAGAAAGGAAGTTTACAGATTCCACCTTAGGAAAGCAAGAATTATGGTTGGGAATTCCCCTAATATAGGAAAAGTGTTCAAAAGACACTAAGGACCCACCACATACATGGCAAATGCCCACCACAGTCCATCACTTGGCTGCCCAACATGAACTTCTCCATAAGTAACCTTCCTAAAACGAAAGTGCCCTCATTGAACGGAATCCTCACTATCTCTTGTACAAAGGAAAATGAGGTTCGACTCTCCCCAGAAATGAAATAAGCCAGTCTCAGCACTTACTGCCTTCAGCTCCAAGTACAGGATCTCCAGGTAATACCCATTCCGCCTCTAATTTAGTCAGATCCCCAAACTGATATCCTATAAACCATGGACTAAAGCGAAGGTTCACCACCAACAGCATCCTATATATAAAATAGCAGAAGGAAGGCAGAGGACAGAGAAAAAGGAAATCGGTTCAAATATGCAAATACACACATGACGGAGCAAGGAAGAAAATATGGACAGAGAGTGCCCTCTTTATTTCTGAAATTGGCCCCTGACCAGAGCTGTACCTATTTCATTCTCCTGCCCTCCTCCAGTACAGGTGAAACAAAATTGAATGCTGGTGAACCTGAGCCTTAATGATGCCATGGAACTACCACCTTAGCCCTGGACTACCTACCTCTCAACTTCTCACACATGAGTGAAAACTAGAAATGCTTCCTTTGTTTACTCCTCTCATTTTGGGTCCGACTGGGGAAGGGCTACAGGACGGGACTCCATCTACAGCCCCATCAGTGGGGCTCCATTTCTCTGTTTCTCTGCAGTGGTAGAGCAGAGAGGGCCCTTGATTTGGAATCAGGAAAATCTATTTCTGAACCATAAGCCTCAATAGCCAATCCATAAAACTGAGCTAGTGATACCTACTTCACAGGGACGTTATGCAAATATATCTAAGAGTTGGGACAATAAATGATGCATAGGCTGTCTCAAAAAATGCGAATTCCAATCCCAATTGCACTTGTGATAATGTATGTAAAGTCCTACCGTAGGGTCTGTTCCCGTCTCACATCTACTCTCCGTGGATCTTCTGCCAATGAACATTCAGTTCAGAGGAAGCGAGAGATCCAGATCAATGGTTTTCAGACTGCAGGTAATCATCCTTTAAGTGGGGTGCTGTTCATATTTTAATATGGAGTGGAACGGAATGGAATAGAAACTGAAAGTACTGCACGTGAGCAGGATAAATATTGTTTCCTGAAACTTCTGATTCAGTTGTACGTGTGCATGTTTGTGCTCGTGTATTCACGCACACGTCTATGTGCATTGGGTCCTTCTGCAAAACACATTTCCTGCTGTGGGCCATAAAAGTACATATGTTTCTGGATGCTCCGCATAAGGACTCTCCCAACCCATGTTTCTGAAGAGGCTTTAACAAACTGCCCTAGCTGGGAAAGACAGGGTCCCTCCACCCCCACTCCCCAGATAAGCCACCACGGTTGAAAGCTCAGACTGCTGGCTGAGGATGGGAGAAGAAACCATGACCACACAGTTCCCGTGGTGACCAGCCCAGCCCTTCGCTCGTTGCTGGCGTTATAAAAACCCAAGACCGGAAAATAGCAGCAGCATCTGCCTGGGGCAGCCTCTCTGAGAAGATGCATCATCTGCCTCTCACCCTGCTACTCCTTCTCCTATGCTGCAGAGCTGAAGCTGGTGAGTCTTGCGGTCCTTCCCTCTGGAAGCGACAGGATCAGCCCCAAAACAAAGTTTAGTCTGAATATAGCTGACTCTTAAACAAGGTCTCAGGATCTCTCTGCAGGAGTCCAGAGTGAAGTTCCACTTGGGATACGCCCACCCAGTCTCTGCAGCCTATGGTAGTTCCCCAGGGGACAAGGAACCCCATTGAGCAGGGAAAGCCCAGAACAGGTGGGAGGAAGAGGGGCATCTTCTCGTGCTATAATGTGAGATACTGCGTAGAAGGTCCTATGTTCTCTTCACCCTCTGAGCTTCGGGGCTACATTTTACCGTGTGATGTGGCCATTCTGTGATGCGGCTCACGACCGGTGGAGAAGGTCAAGCCAGGAACCCGGAGAGCCTGCCCTGCATGGTCACAGAGGAGCATTAAGGCACGGGCGGTGTGGGAGCGGTGGAAATCCGAGGTGAAAAATGCCTGAATGGCATCTGCGGCCAGATTGGCTGTTATACCTGGAAGAAGGAATGAGAATTTATATGGGAGGTTGTGGGTGGGGAGACCAGATACCAGAGCCTCCTGAGGGGGAAGACGGGCGGAGTACAGCCTACGCATTCTCCGTGTTCAGGCCCTGGGGGCTCTCTGTTCCAGGGGAGATCATCGGGGGCACAGAGTGCAAGCCACACTCCCGCCCTTACATGGCCCACTTGGAAATCATCACTCCCCAGAACCATCTGATGTCTTGTGGCGGTTTCCTGATAAGACGGAACTTCGTGCTGACAGCTGCTCACTGTGCAGGAAGGTGACACAACAGGGTCCGGTTTACGTCTGGAAAGGAGATAGGCAGCCAGCATAGCAGCCAGGGACACACGCTTGGGTGGCCTGAGGAGGGGTCCCGGGCCTGGGAGAGGCAAGACTTGAATTTAAGGAAACTGGGCCCATAATTGATGGATGCCCTGATCTTCAACCACTGTGAGCTCAGCAACCCTACAGAGGAAAAAGGAGGCCCTATCCAAGTGTACTTCCTCTAAAAGTAGCTCCCCTCTCCCCGACCCCCACCTATGACATATGTGACTTTCAGGGGCCCACCCAGTTTTCCAGGCCGCTTCCTCTCTGCCCTTTCCAAGAACACTGGCCTTTAGTCCTCAGGGATTTCACCCATCCTTTCCATGGGAGGCAGAGAACAGGGTCTACCAGGGACTCCACCACGTCCCCCTTTCCTCTGGTATCTCTTGCTCTGGAGGGCTGGCCCTCATATAGGGCTCCCTGAATTAGTAAGAGCTAACCCTGTCCCGTGGGTCCTCCGTGGCCGGCCCAGTCCCCCGCAATTCCCAAGAGTCCTGGAAATTGTCCCTGTTCCCTGAGTGAAACCTGAACCCCCCAAATGCCACAAGTGGCCCAGGAAAAGGGAGGTGGGGAGAGTCCAGTAACCCCCGTGATAGACTCCAGTTCCCTTTCCTCAGAGTGGGCACATCCCAGGAGAAACAGACCATCACTGTCGCTCCTTGTCTTTCCTTCTCCCTCACCACAGGTTCATAATGGTCACCCTCGGAGCCCATAACATACGAAAGAAAGAAGACACGTGGCAGAAGCTTGAGGTCATAAAACAATTCCCTCACCCAAAATACAATGAATTTACTATTCTCCATGACATCATGCTACTGAAGGTGATAACTTCTTTTTCCCCCTTCTCCACTTCCTGTTCTCTTAGTTTTCTCCTTCAGGTCCCCATTGCCCTGAAATTTCCCCAACCTGCCTCTGGACTCCAACCCCACCAAGTCACCCCACTGGGTGTAGTTCTAATGTGAAACTGTTTGCCCTGTCCTCCCCTGATTTCCTCCAAGGGAAATTTCCACCCAAAGTGGTGATACCCCGTCACCCCTTTCTAGTACTGACAGCACTTCATGCCCTTCATAGTTGAAGGAGAAAGCCAACCTGACCCTGGCCGTGGGGACACTCCCCCTCCCACCCCAGTTCAACTTCATCCCACCCGGGAGAATGTGCCAGGTGGCTGGCTGGGGAAGAAGACAAGTGAATGGATCAGGCTCTGACACTCTGCAAGAGGTGAAGCTGAGGCTCATGGATCCCCAGGCCTGTAGACACTACCTAGATTTTGACCACAACCTCCAGCTGTGTGTTGGCAATCCCAGGAAGACAAAAACTGCATTTAAGGTGACCCTCCGACATGGGTTCTTTTCCACAAATCACTGTTTGGGGTCTAGAACGTCTCCTGGAAGGAGATGGGGTGGGAAGACTGTCAGCCAGCAGCAGGGTTTCAGATCACAGGCCTAAGGAACTGGAATTGCCCCTCTGCAGATCTATCCCCGTCTCCCCGCCATGCAGTCTCTGACCATCCCTCCCAGGCTGCTGCCCAGCGCACATAGGGTAGCAAGAAGGAAAGGGAAAGGGGCAGCATACCGAGATATATAACCCCATGAGAAGCCAGGGCTGCTGGGTCTGACCAGAGGTCTCTCTGTGACTCAGAACTGGGACCCACAGGCGGGAGTGGATGACTTCCCTGCTCACCTTCTGTGCTCACTCTCTCTCTCTATACCCTCTTTCTCTCTGTCCCACAGGGAGATTCAGGGGGCCCTCTTCTGTGTGCTGGGGTGGCCCAGGGTATTGTCTCCTATGGACAGGAGAATGCAAAGCCCCCTGCTGTCTTCACCCGAATCTCCCACTACCGGCCCTGGATCAATGAGGTCCTGAAGGAGAATTAAGCCTGGACGGAGCCTGGGCCAGCCCAAGGGGAAATCTGGAACCAGACCTGAGCAGGCTCTCTGTGCCACTTACTCCAGAGCTGCCTCTGGTCTCTGCTGAGGCCCCGCCACATCCCTCAGACCCAAGAATCCTCCTCCAGGTCACAGTGTCCTCAGTAAACCTCAATAAAGACCCAGCTTCCAGACTTGAGGGTATGTCGTCTCTCTGATTTTCCCTTCTCCTGGCACAGAGCAATCAGCCCCAGCCTAAGCAGCCTACAAGCTTTGGAAGGAGTCGGGACATGGGAGGGGGGTGAGTATGAGAGACAGAGAGGAAATAATGAAGAAAAATTAGGGAAAAAAAGAAGAGAGAGGGAGGGGCGCCTGGGTGGCTCAGTCGGTTGGGCGTCTGCCTTCGGCTCGGGTCGTGATCCCAGGGTCCTGGGATCGAGCCCTGCTTCGGGCTCCCTGCTCTGCAGGAAGCCTGCTTCTCCCTCTCCCACTCCCCCTACTTGTGTTCCCTCTCTTGCTGTGTCTCCCTCTGTCAAATAAATAAATAAAATCTTTAAAAAAAAAAAAAAAAAGGAGAGGGAATCCCTGGAGAGGCAGGATCGGTATTTCCGACTTAAACAAGATGTTACACCAGATCCTTGCTATAATCATCTACTCTATACCAATTCGGATTTATCTCTAGTAATATTCAGAATCACTAAGAACAGTGTGAATCACAAGCAAAGATGTCAGATGTTTAGAGCATCCCTGACCTTTCCCCACTAGGTGCCAGGAGTAGCACCCTTCCCCACTAAGTTTTGCCAACCAGAAGTTTCACAGGGCATTGCCAAGTGGTCCCCAAGGGGGCAGGGGAGCAGGAATCATCCTCAGTGAGAACCACTGGTTTAAATATTCGATCTAGGGAAGGCAGTTGGTGCCACATAGGGCCCTCCTCACAGTCCACCTCGATAAGAGAAGACCTACCATCTGTGGAACTTCCAGTCAGAGATGCAAAGAAGATTGTCTTTCGCTCCCTGCTACAAAACAGAGAGCTGGAGCAGGTAAAAGGAGGGATAGCATCCCAAGTTCTGCGTGAGCAACACCCAGCCACAAGGGCTTCATCAAAACCAGTAGGAAGTCAAAAGCCTAGAGTCTATCCAGCACAAGGTCTTGCCATTTGAGGGACTGGCTGGAGGAAAGAAGCCAGGGCAAGAGAACAGGGACAGGTACAATGGGGGCCTGAGGCTGATAGCTCTCCTGGTTTCTGAGGGCAGAGTGAGTCTCCGCCCCAAGGAAACTCTTTCTAGCAATTCGTCTTGAAGAAGTAATCAGAGATAATGTCTTACACAAAGATTCGTGAATGAAGATTTTAATCTCAGCATCGTTAATAATTGAAAAATTGGAATCCCGGCCGCAGAGCCAAGTTTAGATGGTAAATTCACAAGATTGGATATTTAGAATTCATTAAAAATTTGTTTTCAAAATCTTTCAATCATGTGGGAAAATTCAAAACTTCAGTGTAATGTAATGCAGGATTTGTTTTTCCTGGGAAGACCCTGGACTTTTCCTCTTCTCACTGTAAAATATCCCTTGACTGAACATCCCTCCACCAGGCCACAAGAGATTAAGAAGAAGCTAACAGATCTCCGCCCAGATTATGCGATTTGTGACTGGGGCCACTATTTAGTGAGTCTATGTTTTGTTTGTTTGTCTGTTTAAGATTTATTTATTTGAGAGAGAGAGAGAGGGAGAATGAGTGGGGGAGGGGCAGAGGGAGAGGGAGAGAGAGAACCTCAAGCAGACTCTCCACTGAGTGTGGACCCAACGTAGGACTCAATCCCAGGACCCTGAGATCATGACCTGAGCCCAAACCAAGAGTCGGACGTTTAACTGGCTGAGCCACCCAGGTGCCCCTACTGAGTGTTTGTTTTTGATTAAATGATGAAAGGATTCTGTCCTTACTCAACCTTTCAGTACTTTCAATTTATTTGGTTAGTTTAAGTGTTTGGAGTTTTGTGTTTTTGTTTCTGTTACGTGGCTTTAGGGCCAGGAAACACCATGGCTCCCCAGAAGAGGAATTGGCTGCTTTACTTCGAGTTCATTTCCTCATCAATTAGGATGAGGGTAGGGTAGCCAGGAAGCTGAGATTTTTGCTAGTTTTCGTGATGGTTTTCCTGATGACAATCTTCTCTGGTTTTTGTCTCACACATGAGCTTACCTGTGTTGGGCTTGCAGGCTCTGAAAAGTGCAGCATGACCAACTGCAAGTTTTCTACTACCAGCCCCACCTCTCGGCCATGAAACAGTTACATCAACGTGTTCTTTGAGCCTTTATCGTCAAAGGGTCTGTCTGTCAGGTCCCAGCAGGGACAGATGGCACAATCACGCAGGGTAATTTAGGAAAAGTCCAATGGAGGATCTTTGTGCAAAAGGAACAGGAAACCAATAGGGAGTGGTCATGCATCCCAGAGCTGGCAACAGTGTGAGGCCACCACTGTCCCTTTGGCATGAAGGGGGCTGGGTAAGGAACGGTTACTGGAACACAGAAGGAGAGCTGAAGCTCCACCTCCACTAGCTCGAGCTGTAGCTGCGGGACAGGAGCTGCAGACTGTGGAAGGACCCTAATAGACACGAGTATCTGATCTTGGGACATCAAGTGACTGTGATCACACCAACTGAATTAAAAGCCCTGGTTCCCAGGCATAGACTGGGGGACTTGCTTCCACCAGAACGGAGGATATAGTAAGGGTTCCACTAAATCTAAAGTTATGGCTGCCAACTGTCATGTCAAGCCTGTCTTGATCGTGAGTGAATCCCTAGGCAACAGTGAACTTACCCCACTGACATGGATAACTCACCCTTATTATTATACAAAGATAGAGTTGTTGCCACATAATAAGGGCAGGGAGGAGTATGAGGCACTCCTTGGGGCTTCTATGCCCAGTGACAATGGAAACATGTAGCTGTAGCAACTCTACCCTAAAAAAAAAAGCCCAGGAACCTCAGAGATAAAGGTCTGGGTTACCCTAGTGGGTAAACAATTTAAACCAACAGAAGAGCTGGCCATGGAGTGGAGCAGGGCGGGGGATGGGGGATAGGTGACAGAGGAGGTAGACAACTACTCATGATGACCCTAGGACCAGCTGCCACTGAAGGGACTGTAGCCTGTCCTTACAAAGTGATTAACATTTGAGTCAGTGGACTTTGTGAGGCGCCTGGGTGGCTTAGTGAGTTAAGCATCTGACTCCTGGTTTCCCCTCAGGTCATGCTCTCAGGGTCCTGGGATCGAGCCCTGCCTTGGGCTCCCTGCTCAGGGCAGAGTCTATTTATCTCTCTGCTCCTCCCCCCTGCTCGTGCTCTCTCTCTCTCTCTCTCTCTCAAATAAATAAATAAAACCTTTTTTAAAAAATCTTTTAGGGGCACCTGGGTGGCTCAGTCGTTAAGCATCTGCTTTCAGCTCATGACCTGCTTGCAGGTCATGATCCTGGAGTCCTGGGATCGAGTCCCGCATGGGGCTCCCTGCTCAGCGCGGAGTCTGCTTCTCCCTCTGACCCTCCCCCCTCTCATGCTCTCTCTCTGTCTCATTCTCTCTCTCTCTCAAATAAATAAATAAAATCTTTTTTAAAAAATCTTTTAAATTAGTAGACTCTAAGTAAACCTCCATAATGCAGGGGGGCTTCATCCCATCAGGTGAAGGCTTTACGAGCAAAGACAGGTTCCCAACGAAGGAATTCTCAAGATGGCAACAGAGAAAACCTGTCTGTTTCTAGACGGCTGCCCTGAGGAATTCAGATTCAAGACTGCAACATCAACTTTTACCTGAATTTCCAGCCTGCTGGCATGACCTACAGATTTCAAACTTGCCAGCTCCCACGGTGGTGGGAGACAGTACCTTAAAATAATGTCTCCTATATGCGGCACCTGGGTGGTGCAGTCAGTTAAGTGTGGGACTCTTGGTTTCTGCTCAGGTTGTGATCTCGGAGCCATGGTGTCAAGACCCACATGTAGCTCCATGCTCAGCGCAGAATCTGCTTGGGATTCTCTGTCTCCCTCTCCCTCTACCCCTCCCACTCACTCTCTTTCTCTCTCTCTCTCTCTCTCTCTCTCTAAAATAAATAAATAAAATCTTTTTTTAAATAATATCTCTTATAGATAGTTACCAAATATATATATATATATGTACTTTTTATATAAATTGAAATGACCACTCCCTTGAAGAATCAATGCGAAGGTGAGATGAACTCAATGTGGGGCAGGAGGGGACCCGACTTGACACTGTCCCTACTCCATCACTGCTCACTGAAGGGTGCTTCCACAGAAGGCTTCTCACTCTGGTCATCCACAGCTCTTTCCCTAAAAGCTTTCTCTGGAGTAAGAGCATGCTCAGCCAGGGCACACAGCAGACGAGAAGCGGCCCCTCAAGTGGCCTCACCCCATAAGGGATGGAAATTGGTGGGTAATTAACCCAGTGTCATCACTCTGCTGGTGAGACAACTCCGAGGCACTGTCTTACACCATCTCCCAAAAGTCCCAGGTGACATGAAGCTCTGGGTGTCCACAGCGCTGATCTGCTCAGTAACACACCCTGTATTTTCTTTCCCTCATTCCTTCCCTACTCTACTTCTACTCTCTACTCCCCTGTTGACGCTTCCAGGAGTCACATCACAAATAAATTCCTTGCACTCAAATCTTTGTATCAGGGTCTGTTCTGGGAAAACCCAGACTAAAATACTCCCAGCAACCAAGATTTATTAAATCTCTTGTAGTTAGTACAATGTGATGTTGAGGCAAAGACAATCAATTAAAGCAACAAAACAGAATAGACTCTAGAAAGAGACACATTCACCTATGGACTATGACAAAAGAACAACCGCAGGACAGTGGGAAAAGACAGTCCTTTCAGTACGTACTGCTGGGCCAAGTGAATATCCACGGGAAAATGAAATTTGACCTCATCTCACAAACCCAGAAAAGTCTATTCCAGGCGGTCCACACATGACAGGTAAAACAATACAACTTCTAGACAATGTGACAAGAGAGTACCTTTTTACCTTGGGGTTTGGAACGATTTCTTCAAGGCACGCAAAAACCACTAACTTAGAAGTAAGTTTCTCCACCTTGCACTACTAACATTATGAACTGGATACATTTTTGTTATGGGGGCTGCCCTGGCCTCCCACTAGATGTCACTACCACTGCCAAAACTATCCCAGTTA